TGACCCACAACTCGGGGTCTGGGACTGTCTGTCATTTGTCTCTGTCTTTAGTTAGCACAATGCCCACATAATAGTGATACTCCTAGATAATTGCTAAAGGAACCTTCTTTACTTGTAATAAAGCAAAGAAAGAAATAGTCTGTGTTGGCTTAAACGGAGACCATGTGTCATGTTAGCATGTTGTTTTAATTTTATTTTAACTTTTCTAGGAGGCAGCTAAGTCTTGTATCTCTGTCCAACTCTTTAATTACGGGTTCTGGAGGGAGTAGGGGCTAATGATTTGATGTTGACTCAACTTTGAGCATGATAGCGGTAGTGGTTGGCTAGATGGTAATTTGTAAACTGGACAGCCATTTGAGATGCTATAACAGGAAGCTGACTGGAGTCAATGAATATTGTTCCAAAAGGAGTACAGGTTTAGTCATTGTTCACTTACATTTTTACTCAAGGTTATGTTGTAATGATGACTGGAATTTGTACCTCATTCTAGTGAATTCATTTCTCTTACCTCCCAAGTATCTTTCTGTTGCCCTTTCTCAGGTAATGCCAGGGTAAATGTAGCATCCAAAATTATAATTACTTTTTACTGTGAATTATTTATTGCCTGTTAACCCCATCATTTGTACATTCCACATGGCTGGAAGGCTGATGTCTGTTGGGTTCACCATAGCATTGAACAGTACCTAGCGCATAGTAGGTACTTAAGAATATTTGGTGAATGTAGTATGAAACTTTGTAATATATGTAATTGAGGAGCTGCTGGATTTTCAAAGAAGCTTCAAGATGAGTTTGTGCAGTTTTTCAAAACCTTGAGTTAGAAGTCTTATTGATTTCATATCCCTTTAAAGTTAAATGTCACATAGTATCACATTTCACAATTCCTGTACCGTAGTGGAGAGGTGGAGGCCAAAAATACTGGCAGTTGAAGTACAGATAAGGAAGGAAAAAATGGCCTATGTTTGACATAGTAAAGGGAACTGAACTCAAAATGGGTCAGTTTTTCAGTGAATAACTCATGGTTTTATGACTTCTGTGCGTGATCTAAATGCTCTCTTTAGCTACCACCAGTTAACCAATTCACAGTGCCTAGGTAAATTCATATTTGACCGGATTGCTCTGACTACTAAATTGCACTGATGTTAAAATAGCTTTTGGTCTTTTTTTTTTTTTTCTTGAGTAAATGTTATGGATGGGTAGAGGGGACATTTGTAATGTGTGCTGAGGCAGCTGGGTGATTTTGCATTACTATCCTAAGAATACTGAGAAGTGGTTATTTTTAGCTTTCACCTGAGCAAACATGACTCAATTTGTTGATGTGAATCCATCCAGCCGCTTCTTAAATATACAAACTCTATTAATCCCTAGAACCATGCTAGTGACTAAGTAGGGCATTCATTACATATACTTGTTAGTTAATTGTGGCTCCTTCAAAGGTTGCAGAAAATGTCAACATTTTCTATTTTATTCTTTTCTCTCACAGTAATATCCTTCATACTTTTTTAAATATAAAGATAGAAATTAAACTTTTTAAATTTTAGACACTTTTATGATCATGTAGTCACAATTTTGGCTACAGCTAGTAAAAACACTTTCTACAAGCTATTAGCTTTGCTTTAAGTTTACTTTGATAGATTTTCTACATAAAGAAACACCTGGAATTCACTTTTAACTGTTGGAGGAAGTTGTCTTAAGTTGGAAATATTTTAGTGGGAGAACATCAACTGTCCATGTTTGAATATCAGAATGTCTTTTTTACTTTCTCAAACAATACAAATATTTTGCCTTTTGAGCATTACTGGAAAAATTGAAAATGTTGAATTATCTTTAGGTGTTTAAGTTATGCAATTTATTTATTTATTCAAGTGTAAAAAAATATTTGTGATTACCATAGTATAACTTGAAATGCACTTGAGGCTTCTCAAGTTCATTGCCATGAGATTTATGAAAATATTAGTATTCCTGGGATTTTTTTTCTTTATGCAAGATACACTAGACTAATGAAAGAATGAAAATAATTCAGGCCGCTACAAAGGCAGGCGCTCACTGTGTCCATTAAAAATGCAGCCTTTGTGCCCGTAAAGTGTTCAGCTTCTCTGTTATTAAGTTTGGAATGTGGTTTTGGAGCTTAGCTGAGGAACTCAGCTAGTTATTTTTCATTTTGGTCTAAGGAGGGAGAGACTTGTTTTTCAAAGGTGGGGGGAGGAAAGAAATGAAAAAAGGTTAGGTTCATTTTAGAAGAATTGAAGTTTTAAAATGTAGTAACTATTTTCTGCAGCAAATAGTCAGTTTGAGTATGTTAGCCAAAAATAGAATTCATGACTTTTGTCTCCCTGTTTCTTTCTCCAGCCACATTAAAAAGCATTCAGTTAAATGTGCCATTTAGTTTTTCTAATGTCAGAGGGCTGTTTGGCTGAGTCAGGATAACCAAAGTTTGATTGATTCATATTTCTAATAAGCTAGATGTCTGATTTTAGGTGGATTAGGTATAAAATGTCTTTGTGATACAGCTTTGGGTTTTAAAGAAAGCCTTCCCTTGCGTGGATTAGTGGGGACTCTGTAGTGTACTGAAAGACTTTCATCTAGAGTTCAGTCATACTATGTTTTTGGGTATGTTTTAGTAGACATTGCCCCAACTCTGCAAACATAACATTTGACTACTCAGAATTTACCATTAGAACAGATATTTAGGGATACAAAAATATGTATTTGAGCATTAAAAGCAGGGCAAATATTAATAATGTACACTTTTGCCTCCTAAATGACTTTCTTCTTGCTTTACATATTTCTCTAGTTGTTATCTGATCTCTATTACCAAAGAAGTGATTTCTGTTCCTAAAAGGTCTGAAAACACAGTATGCCAATTATAATATGCACAGAATTAAACATATTTAAACTTCCCTAACTTAGAATGTTTTCCTTTCCCTGCTCATCTTATAAGTTTTATAAATACTTTTTAAAAATATATTGAACTAGCAGGACCCACATGATGAAAATTTTCAAAGAAATATAAAATTGGAGTCCATTTAAATGGGAAAGCAATCATTGTTTTTGGATAGGAAAACTAAATGTTGGGAAAGCATGCCAATTCTGTTCACATTCATTTGTAGATTTAATGTAATTTCAGTCAAATTCCAGCAAAAGGATAAAAAGGATAAACTTGAATGGATTTGGGGAGAGGATTTACTCTACCAGATACTGATACAAACCATCATTTTATTGGATTCAAAACAATGTTGTATTGAGCTATGAAGTGACAGTCCAGTACATGAAATAGAGCAGATTGTCCAAAAACATCTATTGGTATACATAAGATAGAAGTAATATCCTAAATCAGTAAGAAAGGAGAGTCTGTTCAATAAAGAATAATTTAAATATATAGAAAAAATAAAACTTAGAATCTCACTTCATCTTTTACACCAAACAAATTTCATGTGGTGTAAATATTCAAAAAAAGAAATTGTAAAAAGATAACTAGAAATTAATAAAGGTGACTGTTTATTGAATGTGAATGTAAAAAAAGTCTAAGCACAAAAGCGTGGGGAAAACATAAAGCAAAAGAGACATTCTACATAAATTTGGAACTTCTCTAGATTTAAATATGCCATAAACAAATAAAAAAGTTAAGGTAAATTACTAGCAAAAAATATTAGGTAAATAATTATTTATAGACAACCTTTACAAGCCAGGGGGATTTTGAGGAGATTAAATTTAGGTATATCGTGACTGATTATTTTGCAGACATTAGTTAAAAAATTTTAATTATAAACATGTAATAGCTAATTCTTGTACTTTTCTTGTGCTCAGGCACTGTTCACAATACATACTTTTCATGTTAACTTGTTTAATGTATACAATGACTCATAATACTGTTGTTATTGCCATTTAAGAGATAAAAAAATTACTACACAGATAGCTTTAGTAATTCACCCAAAACTTTCTTAGTGTGAGTTAGTGGTGACACAGGTAGGAATTAGGGAACCAGTATGGGACACCAGGCAGGTTGGCCTGGAGCTGCTGGTACTCACCACTGAACTATTCTGCTTCTTTAAGTGAAGAAAAAGAAAAAGCTACAAACCTATGTATGATGTGATCCTATTTTATAGAAAAATATGTTAATATGTATGTATTTTAAAGTTATAGAATTCATTTATAATTTTTCATCTAATTACACTCGTAGAAAAGACAATATTTTGATATTTTTCCAATAGTGGTTACTTCCCTCTAGTGGGATTTTGGGTAAATGTTTTTGTACTTTAAAATTTCTGTATTTTGCAGATTTTTTTTATAATCATATAACCATTTTACAATCACAAAACTGTTTTTTAATGTTACACAGTTCAAATGTGATGATCTCTTTTGAAATGCACAGATCAAAAGCATGGCTTTTGTATATCTCTGAAGTAGCAGTTAGTGTTTCAGTGTCTACCTCTGATAGGTACCATACTAAGTGAGAGCCTGAGGTCAGCAGAGTTCTTTCGGTCAAAAGCAATGTTAGAACTAAGGCGAGAATCTTAGAAACCAGCTGTCTTGGTCAATCTTAGAAACTAACGATTTCGTTTCTCAGATGAGTGTCCTGAAACCACTAGATTTAACCAATTTTCCCAAGACAAACTGACAGTAAATTGTTCAACCAGGCTTCAGACACAGGTCTTCTGATTTCAAACACTGCGCTCTGTAAAAGTCCCAGAGGCCTCTAAGCTGGTGGGAACTGAAGCACAGCTGCTTTTTGTGACATTTGTTTGGAGTAAGGAACCAAAGTTGTTACAAATATACTCTTTCAGCAAAAATGATGGTGATTGAGGACATAATGGGAAGACTCAGAAATACTTTATGATACCTGTGGAGGTCACTAAAGGATCCTCACCTGGTTTTGGGGGGATCCCTAGATATTGCTGATCCCAATTATAGAAGGCAATATGAAAACTGGGTACAAATGTTGGCCAAAAGATGAGTACTTCAGTGGATGATTTTTCTAAAACAGAAAAACATTTTCTTTTCAGCTCCAGGGCCCACAACGGCAGTATCCTACATGTCAGTGAAATGTGTGGATGTCCGTAAAAACCATCACAAGACAAAATGGCTAATGCCTTGGGGACCCAACCAATGCGACAAGATCCGAGACATCGAGGAAGCAATCCCAAGGGAAATCGAAGCCAATGACATTGTGTTTTCTGTCCACATTCCCCTTCCTTCCATGGAGATGAGTCCTTGGTTCCAATTCATGCTGTTTATCCTGCAGCTGGACATTGCATTCAAGCTGAACAACCAAATCCGTAAGTGTCCTCTCTTACCCTTTAGTCCCTTGGACATTTCTCTCTTCAGGTTCTTTCAGAGCCAGTTCTAATAACAGTAAAATGAAAATATTAATGGCAGAAAATTACCAACTGCTTACTACTTGCTAGGCACTCTTTTGAATATCCTACTAATCTATTTCATATTCCTAGCAGTTTTGTGAGGAGGTCTTATTATTTCATTTTACAGATAGAAACCTTGGGCATCAGTGAGATTGCTTAAGGTCAGAAGGTAAGAGAGTTGAAGGGCTATGAGTCAAACCCATGCAGGCTGTCTTCAAAGCCTTGCACGAAACACTAAGCTTCCCCACCTTTCTAGTGTTAAGAAGGAGCTCATCCCAGCAGAGTGATTTGAGGATTTCTTAATGGTCCCATGTTGAGAAAAGCCATCATATTAGTCAAGATCCCTGTCAATATGGGAATACTAACCCATTTTCTCACAAAACCAGGGTTGTTTGTTTGCTTGTTTTTAGCTTACTGAGTTGTAGTTCAGGATTTTGAGGGCATGGGGGCACCTGGGTCGCTCAGTCGGTTAAGCATCCGACTTTGGCTCAGGTCATAATCTCATGGGGCTTGAACCCAAGAACAGCCAGCTCAGAGCCTGGAGCCTGTTTCAGATTCTGTATCTCCCTCTCTCTCTGACCCTCCCCTGCTCACGCTCTCTCTCTCCCTCTCTCTCTCTCTCTCAGAAATAAATAAAAACATTAAAAAAATTTTTTTAAAGGATTTTGTGGGCATGGGACATATAAACATTGCATGAGCAGGAGATTATTGGATGATTTCTGGAAGACAAATCCATGTGTGGCATCTGAGAAACAGTATAGGGAAACATAGGTTGAGAAGGAAGAAAACACTTTTTAAAAAATGCTTTATTTATTTATTTATTTATTTATTTATTTTTGAGAAAGAAGCAAGTGAGGGAGGTACAGAGACGGAGGGAACAGAGGATCTGAGGCGGGGCTCAAACTCACGAACCATGAGATCATGACATGAGCCAGAGTCGGATGCTCAAACAATGAACTACCCAAGAGCCTCTAGGAAGAAAACATTTTTTACTGACACAGCATCCAGGGTGAGATGGAAAGTAGAAAAGGTGTGTTGGAATCCTCTCTGCTGAGGCATGTCCATGGATTAAAGCAGCACTATTTCCAATTCTAATTTTCCTGTATAAGCAATAATCTCAATATATAATCATTAATTTCATTTTGTATAGGAGTTACCAATATATGTGCTTGATTGACCAATTATTGGGAACAAAAAGATATGCTAAGATGTCTTTCCAGAATGGAGAGCGTCTTCCATTCATTCAGTCTCTTACCCATTTATTTCAAACTGTCATTGAGTGCCTACTACCACTAGGGATTGTGCTGATAGCTAGACATCTGGATACAGATGAAGACACTGTACTTTAAGGGGTTTATAGTCAAGTGGCAATGATGAGCAAATAATCATTCCAGTATGATGTGCTAGGGGCTGCAACCAAGGTGTGCACAGGAGGCTGTGGAAATACAAAGAAAAGACTTTAGAACATGGAAAGGGAAGACTTCCTTGGCATGCACGTGCTTGTGTGTGTGTGTGTGTGTGTTTTTGTGTGTAGAAGTGAGCAAATAGATATTTAAAGTGAGTGTCAAAGAGTGAAAACCCAGATCAGGAGTTGAGGGTGAAGGTGGGGACAAATAAAAGAACATTCAAGATAGAAGGAATGGCTGATATAAAGGTCCAGATTTGCACAACAGACTTTAGCATTCAGTGGTGTATTTTGTATATCACATGTCCATGTTCTCTTGCCTGTTGTCTTCGTCATTGGTTGCGTAACACATTTATTCATTCACTCATTCAAACTTTATTATGTCCCAACCATATGCTAAACACTTAGTATTGAGGATACAAGACTGAACAAAACATGTTCTTTTAAGGAGTTGGGAAAGACAGTGTTTGGGAAATGACATTTGACTTACCAAAAAGAAAGATATGTGCTACAATGAGAGGAATATGCAATGTTGTGACACTGTGATTTATAAGAAATACATATTTGGTCATTCATATCACCAAAATATACTTCATATATATATTTGGTCTTTACCCACAGTTCCTGGCTCACAGTTCCCACAACCGTTGGAATTTCCTGAGTGATAAGAACAACGGGAACATCTTTTGTAATAATATTTGGTGCATCAATCCGTAAGGGTGAAATGGGTGTCTTGTTCATAACAAGCCCTTTCCACCACAACTGGGCTTATATTAATGAGGCAACCTTTGGAAAGCACCCCAAAGGTGGGGGCTGGTTACCAGGGGAACCAAGTATGAACAGAGGGGTGCTGAAAGTGCCACTCTTGATTTTCAGGGAGGGGAGAGGAGCTGGAGGTCGACTCAGTCACCAATAGCCAAAGATTTGATCAATTGTGTCTATATAATGAGTCCTTCATAAAAACCCCAAAGGAAGGGATTTCAGAGAGCTTCCAGGTTGGAAAACCAGAACACCTCCTATGCTACCCTGCTGGGCCCCAAGCTTTGTGAGGAAAGAAGGAGTTCCTTCCTTCCTTCCTTCCTTCCTCCCTCCCTCCCTCCCATCCTCCCTCCCTTCCTTCCTCTCTCTCTCTCTTTCTCTCTCTCTTTCTTTCTTTCATGGTTATTTTTGAGAGGGATGGGGAGGTAGCAGAGAAAGACAGAGGCAGAGAATCTGAAGCAAGCTCTGTGCCAGGGCTTGAACTCATGAACCACGAGACCATGACCTGAGCCAAAGTAGGACACTCAACCAACTGAGACACCCAAGTGCCCTCAAGAAGGAATTTCACTAGGGACCTTGCCCCATGTAACTCTGATCTGGCTGTTGATTCATATCCTTTGTAATAAATTGGTAATCTAGTGAGTTAATGGGTTTTCTGAATTCTTTGGCCTGCTCTAGCAAATTAAACTCAAGTAGGGTCTTGTGGGAACCTCTAATTTTATAGCCAGTTGGTCAGAAGTACAGGTAACACCCTGGGCTTAAGATTGGTGTCTATAAAGCAGAGGACACTGTGGGACTGAGCCCTTACCCTGTGGTATTAGATGCCATCTCCATTTAGATAGTGTCAGAATTGAGTTGTGTGTTGTGTGGTAAGATACTTTGCTGGTGTCAGAGAATTTTTGGATATGGGGATACCCCCTCCCAACACACACACACACACACACACACACACACACACACACACACACATACCCTATTTGGTGATCAGAACCTATTCTATATTTTAACAACTTCACAAATGAATTACTTCCCAGCAAATATTAATTCTAAATATTAAAAATGCCTTCAGTGGTGAGGCTTTAACTAAAACATTTTTATATGTAAATGAATTTGAATGTCTGTTTTTTCCCCCTCTCAAGTATGTATTCTGCCTCCAAAATATAGTTTATACCCTCATCCAGAAAAAAGATTGTACCGAAGAGTCTTATCTTTTAAAAAAACTGTTAAATTTCTTGTAATGTGAGGGCCCATACCTAATAGGGACACATTAAAAAATTAAGATCAGAAATTAATAGTTCCTTCAATGAATGTATAAAATAACTGACACCATAGGGCCAGCAAGAAAACCAGGTCAAAAAATACTTTTTTGGGGCAGTAGCCATAGGTGAGAGCTGTTAACTTTAATAGGAGAAGGTTACATGTTAGGTTTGTGGGAATATTTTTTCCTTACATTTATTCTCTATACCTTTGTTTATGGACAGTGGTTTGTCTGCTTATATAGAGATTTTTATTTATAATATTCATAAGACACTGTAGGTCTATGTTTTTCTCTGATCTTATGTTAACCCATGAGACTGCTGTCTACTTTTTATATTTTATCATTAGTTTGGATGCCTTTCTGGCAGCAAGAAGTAGGACAAGAGAAAAGGGATCAGAGATGTGGTAAATAAGATCCTATTAAATGTGGATAACTTCCTATTTATCAAAGATTCAGCTGTAACAGTATTACCTCAAATGTAAGGAAAAGTCAGGACCAATTCTGTTTTTTTTCTTTAAGCTTTCTTAGACAGTCTGTGAAATGAGTTCCAGATTTCAAATAAGAAGAGATTTTATATATTTTATATGTAAAATTTTTATTTTATATATATGTGTGTATATACATATATATATGTGTGTGTGTGTGTGTATATATATATATATATATATGTATAATATACCTACCTTTGAAGAGTCTTTGAGTAGATAAAATAATCTAAGAATTGTGTATTGTATTGTACTGTATTTTAATTTGAGAGAGAGAACACCAAGGGGTGTAGAGGGGCAGAGGGAGAGAGGAGAGAGAGAAGGAAAATCTTAAGCAGGCTCTACACTCAGCATGGAGCCTGACATGGGGTTCCATCTCATGACCCTGGTATCATGACCTGAGCTGAAATCAAGAGTCAGATGTTCAGCCAACTGAGCCACCCAGATGCCCCAAGAATTATATATTTTAAATGACTTTCAGTCATTTGGTGTTAAATGTATATTCTTTTCAGACTTTTCCGTTTAAGGTGATACAGGTTTTAGCTAAAATTTGAAATCTTGACAATCCCTCAGAAACTGGAAAATATTGACTTACCCTTTAAAAGCTTGTCATTATTTAATCTGTTCTAAGATTTCATCAGATTGATTCCTATAATGTCATCATTATAGTGACAAAAGTGGTTAAAGAATGTATATATTATATTTGATTATTGACAAAGAAGATAGTCCATGTATGTTATGTAAAAAAGGTAATCCATGTTTGAAAAAGCAATTTTATTTATTTATTTATTTATTTTTATTTTAATGTTTTTTATTTATTTCTAGGAGAGACAGAGAGACAGCGTTAGCAGGGGAGGGTCAGAGAGAGAGGGAGTCACAGACTCTGAAACAGGCTCCAGGCTCTGAGCTGGCAGTCAGCACAGAGCCCGACGCGGGGCCCGAACCCATGAACCGCGAGATCATGACCTAAGCGAAAGTCGGACGCTCAACCGACTAAGCCACCCAGGGTCCC